CGGAAGAAACCCCTAGGCTTCTCAGAAACAGGGCAGACAGAGTAAGAGGGAGGACAGAGCAGAGGCCAGAGCCCAGTCAGGAAGACGGCGCAATGCCACCACCACGGGCGTCCGGGGAGGAGGGCCAAGTGGGTGCTGGGCCAGGAAGGCCAGCGCTTGAGGTGAGAGAGATGCGTGCCCCATCCCGTTGCCGGCTTCCTTCTCCGTCCCTGTGTCGAGCTGTGGCTAGATTCCTCGATGAGGGCAAAGGGCGAGAGAGAGTGAGAACCTGTCTCTTGAAGTTCTCTGGGCACCCTCCTGCGGTGGACAGGAGCACCTGGGAGGCCTTTGTCCTTGGCTGGGTGTGGTCGTCTTGATCCGAGCAAAGAGGCTGCTCAGGATGGGGAGGGGATGAAAACCCTGTGGGTCCGAGCAGATGCCCACGTTGCCCAGGCCTTCCCAAACCCAAACTGGAACCGCAGGGAAAAACGACTGGCAACCGGCCACACGACCCCAGGGCAGGGTCGTGGGGAGAGGCTGCCCAGAAGAAAGGCCACGTGCAAGAAACCACCCTCCGGGCCACAGGCACATGTGTCCCGAACACGAACACACAGGCGGACGGAGATTGGAGAGCACGGACAAGAAGAGAGAGAGAGAGAAACAAGAAGAGACACCTAAGTGGGCACAGAGAGCACACACCACACCCACACACACACACACCACGGAAACACACAGATTGTTTTTGTGTTTGTATGAGAGAAACAAGAGAGACACCTAAGGTGGGGCACAGAGACACACACCACACACACCACACATATTCCAAAGACACAGGACATACAGCAGGTAAACACCCTCTTCAGCCAGTTCCTCTGAAATGTGTGTCCGGGTTTGCTTTCGTTTCCGCCACTGCGACCCAGCGGTGAGAGAGCAGCCCACGGGCACACAGGCACACCTGTCCTCTAGATCCCTAGGGCACCACTTCTGGGGAAACTGACCGGCACAGCGTCCGCGCACGCCTGAGGCTGGGATCCCGCGCTGCCTCCCGGCGATCCGTCTGACTTTTCTTCCTCGCGAGGTTTCTTCCTGCTGCTCCACCCTCCGCGAATCCCGGCCTCCGGAGACCATCCTGGTAAGGCCCCGGCCAGGCCTGGTCTCAGCCCCGACTCGGACGGACGATCACACAGGACTCCTACTTCGCCAAGTCTCAGGGACCCATCCCCGGGCAACGGTGGCGGTCACTGTGACCGAAGCGGCGGCTCGCGCCTCGCGCATGCGCACTGGTAGGGCCGACATCCCCCCTTGCTCCCGAGAGTCAGGCTGCGGACCCTTTAAAAAATGGCAGCGACGCGGCGGCTGCGCGGACTGAGACGCCGGTGGCCGTGGCCGTGGCGGTGGCGTCGATTGCGGCGGCGATAGCGGCGCAGCCCGAGGCGGAGCGTGGGAAAAGGACTGCGAGAGGGGCCTGCGGGAGACCCAGGGTCGGACCCGTAGTAGTCCTGTCTTGCGGACCTCCTTGATCGGTCTTCTGCTTCGGTTCCCGGTGCAGGAGGAGCTTCAGGGTGCCGCCTGGGCTGTGCCGACTTCTCTCTCCATCGGATGATGGATCCGACCGGGTCATCGGGAATGGGGTTACAATGCAGTGAGGCAGGAAGGGTCTCGCTGGGGCACAGAGAGATCCCCAGGGCCGCAAGGCGTGCTGTCGCCTGAAAATGCACGGACCCATGAGCCATCCGCTGCCCTCCTTCCTTGGTGGAGGAGCGGCCTCCCTTAATCTCCAAGTCCCGAGGGCTCCGGCATCCCGACGCTGCTTCCGGAGACATGGGCAAGGAGAGCCAGAGGCAGGTCCGAGATGGATCCAATGTGACTACACGTGGCACTGACATCCCCCGAGAGCAGATGGAGTGGGCGTCTGTCTTTGAGGCCGTAGCAGACGATGGCCAGACGGTCCGTGATGTCCAGCCGTGTGCCCCGGGGGCCACGGGAGACTTCCCCGACCACGCTGAGGAAAAGCCAAGCACACCTGAAAACCTGCGAGACGGGGCCTGTGCCCGAGTCCTATCCCAGCCACATTCGGGGATGCTGCCAGAGGGCCCCAGTTTCGACAAAGTACAGGCCGCCCCCACCCCGACACCGACACCGGCTAGGTACCCCTGACGCAACCTCCCCCGCACCCAGGAAAACCCTGTCCCTTGCCTCCCTGACATCCGTGGCTGCCAAAAGATTCAGTGCTTGAAGACACTTTCCCCAGGAGCAGAGGAACAGGATGTCCCTCAAGGATCAGAGAGGGTGTGCAGTTGGGATGTGCCACAGCCTTTTCTCCAAGGCAAGAAGCCAGCCACAGTCACTTCCCGCTATTCGTAAAGCAATTACTCAGCCATCACTTGGGATGTGGATTTCAAGGGAGGTTCCCTGTCCCAGAAAGGTATGGAAGCCCAGAGCTCCAGATCATCACACGCGCCCAATCATCCTGAGATAAGTTTCAGAGGGAAACAACCATGAACCGCATCCTCACGAATTTTCTCCCTAATGGATTGGGACGTGTTTTTTGTCGAATACATTCAGCCAGACTAAGAAGCCCTTGGGCTTCTCAGAAACAGGGCAGGCAGAGCAAGAGGGAGGACAGAGCAGAGGCCAGAGCCCAGGCTTTATATGGCACAATGCCACTGCCTCGGGCAGGCGGGGAGGAGTGCCAAACGGGTGACTTGACGAGGAAGGCCAGCGTTCGGGTGCAGAGGTGCTTGCCACATCCCGTTCCCCACGTTCTTTTCCTTCCTTGTTTCCAACTGCTTCCAGATTTCTCAATGAGGACATACGGCGGGAGGATCGAGAGGAGTGACGTCGATGGGCACCTCTCATGCAGGTGGATAATGAGCTTTTGTGAGAATTTTGTCCTCTGCTGGTGTGTTATCGTCTTGATACTAGCAATGAGGCCGCTCAGGTTGGGGAGCTGATTTAATCCCCTGCATGTCCGATGCAGCTCCCCACATTGCCCAGGTGATCACAAACCCAAACTGGAACCTTCGGGGAAATGAATGACAACTGGCCACGCGACCCAGGCAGAGATTCGGGGAGAGGCTCAACAGAATAAAGGCTAACATATAAGGAACCGCCCTTCAGCTCACATGCATCCCAATATACTCGCGCACACGCGCACACACGGACGTAAACAGGTAGAGGGCGATAGTCGAGAAAAGAGACAGAAACGAGAGAGAAAGAGACACAACCCAGACATACTGGAGTGGCACAGTAACATTCACCCCTAGGCCGCCCCTGGAGCCTCCGGGTTCTGCTCTCCGCGACAACGACCCTGGGGTGAGAGAGGAGCCCTCGGGCACACAAGTAGACCTGTCCTCTAGATCGCAAGGGCAAGACTTTTGGAGAGACTCACCAGCACACCGTCCGCGCAGGCCTGAGCCTGGGATCCTGCGCGGCTTCCAGGCGCTCCGCCTGAGGTTTCTTCCTCCTGGTCGACCCTCCGAGGATGCTGGCCTCCGGATACCATCCTATCGACGCCCTGGTGAGGACTGGCCTTAGCCCCGAGTCCGATGCGCTCCCACAGAAGGCTCCTCCTTCGCGGAGCCTCAAGGACTCGTCTCCAGGCAATGGTGGCTGTCTCTGTGACGTGAGCATCGGCTGGCGATTCGCGCATGCGCCTTGCCAAGGCTGACTGGGCTCTGCTTTGCGTCAGGCTGCAGCCCCTGAAAAAAATTGCTGGGGCTGTGGGTATGAATCGGAGTGTGCGTGTATGTCTTCGGAAGAATGTACCCTGTTCTCTGGAGGGTGGTTTCTGGCTCGTCGGCCTCTTTTTGGTGAACCTCTTTTCTCCTTCTCGGCCTGGCTAGTGTAGCTGGTCGTGTGACCGGAACCGGCAGTCATTTTCCTGGCGGTTGCACTTTTGGTTTCTGAAGGCCGTGGCGAGGTTTGGTGCTGTGTCGGACCCGCAGGCGTTCAATTCACCTCCCCATTCTGAGTGGCCTTGTTTCTAAAATCCTCCACCCAGGAGCAGAGGACCCGGATGTCTCTCAAGAATTAGAAAGGAAGTGCAGATTATTGCAAAGCACATGGTAGCTAACACTGGATAGATGAGGTGAACACTGGTTTGCTAATTACCCATACTTACGCCCCAGGGAAGGAGAGCCCAGCACACCATGCGGGGTACAGTGCAGCAGCACTCAGGAACAAAGTAATCAGGTGGAGGCTATCCCAGGAGGCTTTGTAGTAGCAAGAGTATGGAAGGTAACACCTGGTTCTTGAAGGAGGGTGTGATTGGCCTGTTTGAATAATTCTCCAGGCTGGCTGGAACCTGAGGCCCATTGCTAGGCAGTAAGCAGGTAATGTGCCTGGTCTCTGAGGGGAGTGGTTCGGCTAGGGCAACTTATTCAAAGGAGTACAGTGGGGCAGGGAATATTGCAGTTAATCCATTTAGGCCTCCTTGTTTTCCCCCAATGTCAGGGCACGTGTAATACTAAGCCTTAATCTTAGGCCTTATACCACACTTGACTCCTTGATGCCTTGACATCTCTTGGCAATACTGAGACTTCTAGAGTGTAGAAGTTTTACTGGATGGAAGGTCTTGACTGCAACTTGCCCACGTTTCTGGCTCATTGAAGAAAGAATTAAACAAACTACATGAAGCAACAAAAGAACGAAGCCCCGAAAGAGGAAAGAAGCAACGAAACCGCAGATATATTGAAGCGAAAGTCCACTCTACAGAGCCAGAGCGGACTAGAGCAAGCGGCTCAAGAGCCCAGATTACAATGTTCTTTAGGGTTTTTATTAAGCTAAAGGATTTGATAACACCCACAGGTGCCCTTTCGAGGCCTCCAATTGGTTACACCCTATGAAGGATTGGCCCGTGGCCACTCAGAAGCTGAATTGAAGACTTCTGTCTTGTTATTACAGGAGTAAAGATGTCACCTGTGTGCTGCTTAACCTGGCCTGGCCTAGAACTTGCTGCACCTGCTGTTCTTTTGCTTCTGCCTTAACCCTTGGTTATGCTAATTTTCTTTCCTTTCTTTCTTTCTTTTTTTATTTTTTGAGATAGAGTCTCTGTTGCCCAGGCTGGAGTGCAGTGGCGCGATCTCGGCTCACTGCAAGCTCCGCCTCCCTGGTTCACGCTATTCTCCTGCCTTAGCCTCCCTAGTAGCTGGGACTACGGGCGCCGACACGACGCCTGGATAATTTTTTGTATTTTTAGTAGAGACGGGGGTATCACCGTGTTAGCCAGATGGTCTCGATTTCCTGACCTCGTGATGTGCCTGCCTCAGCCTCCCAAAGTGCTGGGGTTAAAGGCATGAGCCACCACACCTGGCCAAAGTTTTTAAGTTTTTTTAAATAAAATAAAATATGTGAGTATAGGCCAGGTGCAGTGGCTCACGTCTATAATCCCAGCACTTTGGGAGGCTGAGATAGGAGGATCACTTGAGTTCAGGAGTTCAAGACCAGCCCGGACAACACAGCAAGACCCCACCTCTAAAAAAAAAAAAGTGTGCATGTGTGCGTGTGTGGGTGTGTGTAATATGACATAAACAAGTGTGGGTATATCAGTCATTGTTCACCAGTTACTGATGCTGTATAATACACCACTCCAAACTCAGTATTATAAGACAAACATTTTACCGCACTCACTGATCCTATGGGTTGGGAATTCAGACAGCTCACAGAAGAGATAGTTTGCCTCTGCTCCTGATGTCTGTGGCCTCAACCAGGAGGATTCAAAGGCTGGAAATAACCTGATGCCTGAGGGCTGCAAACCTATGAAGCCTGATTTGCACACATGTCTGGCACCTGCGGTGAGAGGCCTCAAAGACTGGGACTAGTAGCCTCCCCACGTGACTTGGCTTCCTCATAGCATGGCGGCTCACAGCACTTGGAACTTCTTACCTGATGGCTCAAGACTTCAAACACAGGAGTTTCAGCTAATGAGGTGACAGCCACAGTGCCTCTTATGACTGAGGCTTGGGAGTCACACAGCATTGGTTACAAACAATAAACAAATCCAGATTCACGGGCAGAGGAGTGAGACTCCACCTCTTAAAGTGGGAATGGCAAGATTCTAGAAGAACATATAGGACACGCCTATTGTTGCAACTATCTTTGGAAAATACAATCTGCTGCAATCACCTTTGGAAACTAGGAAACCAATGCAGTATTCTGAAACTCATAATTCTGAAAACTAATGAATATGAATGGAAAGAATCAAGCATTTATCCTCACTTTCCTACACATACTATCCCTCTGAGTAATCAGATCGTTGATGTGGGGAGATTTTATTTTTATAAAAGGACTCCAGTAATGGAAATTCCAGTAATGGAAATAAAAGGATTCCAGTAATAGCTGAAAGAGAGACACAGTAAGAAGGTGATCGTTTTGCAACTCCTAACAACATAATGAATGTAGGCAATGATCATCAATGAATGCATGACATTATGCAAAAGCAATCACTTTACAATGGATAAATCATATTGATGACACTTAAGCCCACTAACAAATCTGATCACAAAAACAGTGACAGGCCGGGCGCGGTGGCTTACACCTGTAATCCCAGCACTTTGGGAGGCCGAGATGGGTGGATCATGAGGTCAGGAGATCGAGACCATCCCGGCTAACACTGTGAAACCCCATCTCTACTAAAAATACAAAAAATTAGCCGGGCGTGGTGGTGGGTGCCTGTAGTCCCAGCTACTCGGGAGGCTGAGGCAGGAGAATGGTGTGAACCCAGGAGGCGGAGCTTGCAGTGAGCCAAGATCGCGCCATTGCACTCCAGCCTGGGCGACAGAGCGAGACTCCGTCTCAAAAAAAAAAAAAAAAAACAGTGACAAGCAGACCTTGCCAAAATAATTGAACTTGAATTTGATCAAGCCCCTAGAGCAGAGTTTCTCAACTCTGACACTATTTACACTTTGGACCAGATAATTCTTTGTTTGGGATGGAAGGAGGCTGTCCTGTACGGTAAAGGATGTTTAGCAGCACCCTGGCCTCTAGCCAATAGGTGCCAGCAATACCATCCTTCCTTCCAGTTGTGACAACCAAAAATATCTCCAAACATTGCCAAATGTCTTCTAGAGAAACAAAAACAAACAAACAAACAAAACCACAACTGGTTGAGAATCACTGCTCTAGTTAATGACCAGATATTTTAGAGAAAATACAGAGCATCTAATTTGTTAATCAGTACCATGGGGGTGTACTCAAAGGCAGTATGTGGAAACTCTATATGAGTTAGTGTTTGATTTCTCCAAAAAATAAATAGCAAGAAAAAAGGGAAGTCAACAGATTAAAAGATATGTAAGAGACGGCTGGGTGCGGTGGCTCATGCCTGTAATCCCAGCACTTTGGAGGCTGAGGCAGGCAGATCATCTGAGGTCAGGAGTTTGAGACCAGCCTGGTCAACATGATGAAACCCCCGACTCTTCAAAAATACAAAACTTTGGGAGGCGGAGATGGGCAAATCACCTGAGGTCAGGAGTTCGAGACCAGCCTGGCTAACAAGGTGAAATCCCGACTCTACTAAAAATACAAAAAATAGTTGGGCATGGTAGTGCACGCCTGTAATCCCAGCTACTCGGGAGGCTGAGGGGGAAGAATTGCTTGAATCCAGGAGGTGGAGGTTGCAGTGAGCTGAGATTGTGCCACTGCACTCCAGCCTGGGAGACAGAGTGAGACTCCGTCTCAAAAAAAAATAAATAAATTTAAAAAAAGGAAATATAAGAGCTTTATCCTCTAAGCCCAATGTGTAGATCTTGTTTAAACTCTAATTTGAACAAATCAACTGCAACTGATTATGTGATTTTAATAAATTGTTCATTTTCTTTTTCTTTTTTTCTTTTTTTTCTGGAGATAGGATCTTGCTCTGTCACCCAGGCTGGAATGCAGTGGTGCCATCATGGCTCACTGCAGCCTCAAATTCCCAGGCTCAGGTGATCTTCTCACCTCAGCCTCCCAAGTAGCTGGGACTAAAGGTGCACACCACGTCACACTAATTTTTGTATTTTTTTGTAGAGACAGGGTTTTGCCATGTTGCCCATGCTGGTCTCTAACTCTTGGACTCAAGCGATCCTCCTGCTTTGGCCCCACAAAATGCTGGGATTACAGGCATGAGCCACGGCACCTGGCCAGGAATTGCTCATTTTCTTCAGGTGATGATATGAAAATTGTCTTTTAAGAAAAGTTCTTAAAAGAACTATATTTCGATATTTCGGCCGGCGCGCGAGTGGCCAAGCCTGTAATCCCAGCACTTTGGGGCCGAGACGGGGATCACCGAAGGTCAGGAGAATCGAGACCATCCTGGCTAACACGGTGAAACCACCGTCTCTACTAAAAAAATAAAAAAACTAGCGGGCGAAGTGCGGGCGCCTGTGGTCCCAGCTACTCGGGAGGCTGAGGCAGGAGAATGGCGTGAACCCGGAGAGGCGGAGCTTGCAGTGAGCTGAGATCCGGGCCACTGCACTCCAGCCTGCGGACAGAGCCAGACTCCAGTCTCAAAAAGAAAAAAAAAGGACGCAAAAAAAAGCCGGGCCGGTGGCTCAAAGCCTGTAATCCAGCACTTTGGGAGCCGAGACGGGCGGATCACGAGGCCAGAGATCGAGACCATCCTGGCTACACGGGTGAAACCCCCGTCTCTACTAAAAAAATACAAAAAACTAGCCCGGCGAGAGTGGCGGGCGCCTGTAGTCCCAGCTACTCGGGAGGCTGAGAACAGGAGAATGACGAAACCCGGGGAGGCGGAGCTTGCAGTGAGCTGAGATCCGGCCACTGCACTCCAGCGCCCGGGCGACAGAGTGAGAACTCCGTCTCAAAAAAAAAAAAAAAAAAAACTAAATTTCATACTGAAATATTTATTAGATGAAATGTCTGGAATTTTCTTTAAAATAATCGAGTGGAATAGAGATGAAAAAACTGGCCATATGTTAATTGTTTAAAGCTGGGTTCCACTGTACTAGGCTCTCTGCATATATGATGTTGCGAGTATCCAATAATAAAAGAGCTTGAATTTAAAAAAAATTACCTCCTTCCAAGTACTACTCAAACCAGTAAGCACTAATTTGGAAGGATGTCCTGTAAGTCTTCCCTAGAAACACAAGCTTAAAACAAAAAAAATTACATTATAATTCTAGTAAAGGCAAAAGGGAACAAAACTCACTCAATATATTTTGAGCAAGGGAGAGAAGTAAAAGGAAACTTACTAGGACTTTTAAAATGGATAACCTTGGGGAGCTGGGATATAAAATAACAAGAAATATATGTATATGGCTCTTGCCCCAAGCTCCTGGTCTAGAGTTCCTTAAAACTCCTTGAGGTACA